TTGCAAACTCGGGGCATGAATTCATCAAGCCGTTATACGAGCCTCGGCATCTTTTCTCAACCTATGACGGCATTTATTAAAACCGTTTAGGAGCTCGGATATGACGAAGGGAAGGGAACTATCAGGAGAAAGCGCCAGGTCGTTACGACTATACAGCCCTTTTTTTTTCATTATTATTTTCTACCACAGACGTGGCCCACACATTAACAATGCTAATCAGCATACATAAATTTTCTTCTGTTCTCCATGGACTGGGTTAGAGATATGTTAAACATATAGTTCATATATACAGCACTTGGAAGGGGTCAGCATAAGGATTTGGGCTGGGATGGGGGAGGGGGGGGGGAAGGAATGGTACCCAACCACTTGGGCGGTCGGGGATTGAACGCCGACCTGCATGACGCGAGACCGTCGCTCTACTGTCCAGGCCACGTGGCTGGGCGGAGGCTGTTTATAACAACATTTTACTGGGCAGTTTCGATGCTGATAAACGGTTCGAAAAACGTCAACAAAGCTGCCAAAGAGTGAGAAAAGAGCAAGAGGTTCGCCGCATAAGTAATTGCCTAAATGTCTTGGAGTAAGCAGCACCGGCTCGGAATCTTCACTTGCTGAAGCACAAGAGGGAGACCGAGAAAATCCACCCCCCCAAAAAAAAAAAATAAATAAATAAAAAATACGTAGAGACAAGTACCACTGATAACAATACTATATTTATTTAGCACAGGATACACACACTCGGTCATGCAATAATATAATGGACCTATATAAACGAGACATGACCACAGCATACAACATACTGAGGGATGAAAAGTCTTGAGAGACGAGGATAGTCAGTTCTAGATGTTGAGACACAGAAACATCGGGTGTTGGTTATGCCAACACCAATATGTAGAAGTGGAAGACTCTTGAAGTGGGGGGGGGGGGGGAGGTTGGTAACACCTCGTTGTTTTCAGTTAAAATAACAAATACAGTAGAAACTTAGGGTGTACAGAGGAGTAAATTAATCAAGTTCTAATAGAAAGGCGAAAACAAGTGATCTACCAAATAGTTAGAATATAACCATTGCAGTACAGTTTAAACCTATTGCCTTGTGTATGACCCTCAGTCCTGAGTGACAGTGAATACCAGCATTATCCTCACTTTAATAAAACTTAATTGAAATCATCAGATTAGGCAAAATTTAAATACAATTTTGTCAATAAAGATATTATTATTAATAATAATAGCAGTGCGAATATTCAAACCTCCAGAGAGACGTAGCCACAAAACCTCGGGTCATACCATCAGTAGAAAAACAAGAAGAAACTGCTTGCAAAACAAGCAAGATGACGGAGAAAATATTTATTATGCATCGCCAGTATGAGCTCAGTCATGGTAAATCTTGCCTCACAAACCTGATAACATTGTAATGCAAGTGAGTCATAAATCGGATATGATAGAAAAAAATATGATCAGCAGGTTTCGGCACTGTCAGTCGGCCCTCGACACAATACACCATTGAGGAGAGAGGAGAGAGGAGAGGGAGAGAAGAGAGAGAGAGAGAGAGAGAGAGAGAGAGAGAGAGAGAGAGAGAGAGAGAGAGAGAGAGAGAGAGAGAGAGAGAGAGAGAGAGAGAGAGAGAGAGAGAGAGAGAGAGAGAGAGAGAGAGGAGAGACAGGCGAGATGTTATCGTTGGAGTCTCCTACCAGTCAGTACTAGGATCTGTCGTGTTCGTGATTCATGTCAATATTCTTCCAGCGAGGATAAGGAAAAAACTATCAAGAGAAGTCATTACGACTATATAGCCAGCGAGGAAAAGGTCATTAATGTTAGTTGAAACAAATTCCATGGGGAGATTTCATTTGGAGGACGACATGAAACTTCCGGATGACTTGAACAAACTAAGAATGATCCATTTAGTGGTTGTGAGAGTTTAACTCACGCAAATGTAAAGTAATGGTGCTGGGTTATGGGAACAGGAGGCCCTGACAAAAAGTAGCCAAAAAGGTAAAGATGAAAGACTTTCTTATCCTACTATTTTCTTCTCCCCACCTTCTCTCTACCCACACATTTACTCCATTCCCTTCCCCTTCCCCTTCTCCTTTCCCACATCTCTCTCTCACCCTTCTCCCTCTTGTACCCCTTTCCCTTTAACGCGACACCCTTACTCCACCCCCCTCCCTCCCCTTCCAAGGCAACCCACCACTACCAAACGACCGACTGGCCTACCCAACATCCTAACCAATTAGTTCACCTGACACCCGAACATAGATTTTACTTAAGGTGTTGGTACTGTGTGGCAGGAGGTCATTTATTGTTGGTAGACCCAACACCTGGGTGGTGCCAGCAGTGGGAGAGGTGCGATCTCTCCCACCTACTCATAGGTGGGATTCCCCCCCCCCTCCCACCTGTTCATAGGTGGGTGGATCCCTGGAAATTGAAATTGAAATAAGTTTATTGAGGTAAAATACACACAAAGGGATGAGGTAGCTCAAGCTATTCTCACCCCGTTCAGTACAACGTGTTAATATATACATAGACACACATCACGATCCCTGGAGGGATGTTCAGAAAAGTGTCCTAAGGGTCGAGGCATTCCTGTGAACGATACAAACAAAAAACACAGACACAAAATCAATAATCAACATAAAACAAATACACAGTGACATGTCTGTGCAAAAAAAACACTGTACTTATCGTAGCAAATGCAGATAACACACACACACACACACACACACACACACACACACACACACACACACACACACACACACACACACACACACACACACACACAGTTTGAAAATGACATCGCGAGTAAAGCCAAGACCCAACCAAAGCTGCTCCACAGCCATATCAGGAGGAAAACAGCAGTGAAGGAACAAGTGATGAAGCTGCGGAAAGGGGAGAACAGATACACAGAGAATGACAAGGAGGTGTGTGAAGAACTCAACAAGAGATTCCAGGAGGTCTTCACAATAGAACAAGGAGAAGCCCCTGCACTAAATGAGGAGGCGGCAACCTTGGAAACCTTGGAGGAATTTGACCTCACCAGTGATGAGGTCAAAAGGTGTCTGCTGGAGCTAGATGTGACAAAGGCTGTTGGGCCTGATAGAATCTCACCATGGATACTAAAGGAAGGTGCAGAAGCACTAAGTGTGCCACTCTCTATGGTGTATAACAGGTCACTGGAAACAGGAGACTTACCAGAAAGTTGGAAGACAGCTAACGTGGTCCCAATATACAAAAAGGGTGACAGGCAAGAGGCACTGAATTACAGGCCAGTTTCCTTAACTTGTATACCATGCAAGGTGCTGGAGAAGATCGTGAGGAAAAGGCTCGTAGAGCATCTGGAGGGAAATAACTTTGTAACGCACCACCAACATGGGTTCAGAGATGGTAAATCGTGCCTCACAGGGTTAATAGAATTTTATGACCAGGCAACGAAAATTAGGCAGGAAAGAGAAGGGTGGGCCGACTGCATTTTCCTGGATTGCCAAAAAGCCTTCGACACAGTACCCCATAAAAGGCTGTTAAAAAGTTGGAGCAACAGGCAGGAGTAAAAGGGAAGGTGCTCCAGTGGATAAGGGAGTACTTAAGCAACAGGAAACAGCGAGTAACGGTGAGGGGGAAGACATCAGAGTGGCGAGATGTCACCAGCGGAGTCCCACAGGGCTCAGTACTTGGACCCATCCTGTTTCTAATATATGTGAACGATCTTCCAGAGGGTATAGACTCATTCCTCTCGATGTTTGCTGATGATGCAAAAATTATGAGAAGAATCAAGACGGATGAAGATAGACAGAGACTACAGGATGACCTGGATAAACTGGAGGAATGGTCTAGAAAATGGCTGCTGAAGTTCAACTCTGGAAAGTGTAAGGTGATGAAATTAGGCGAAGGGAGCAGGAGGCTGAACACAAGGTATCATCTGGGAGGGGAAATCCTGCAAGAATCAAATAGAGAGAAGGATCTGGGGGTTGATATCACACCGAACCTGTCCCCAGAGGCCCACATCAAAAGAATATCATCAGCGGCATATGCTAGACTGGCCAACATAAGAACTGCCTTCAGAAACTTGTGTAAGGAATCTTTCAGAACCCTGTATACCACTTATGTAAGACCAATCCTGGAGTATGCAGCTCCAGCCTGGAGTCCATACCTAGTTAAACACAAGACAAAGTTAGAGAAGATTCAGCGGTATGCCACCAGGCTCGTCCCGGAACTGAGAGGATTGAGCTACGAGGAAAGGCTAAAGGAGCTGAACCTCACATCCCTGGAAAACAGAAGAGTAAGGGGAGACATGATAACCACCTACAAAATTCTCAGGGGAATTGACAGGGTGGACAAAGACAAACTCTTCAGCACGGGTGGGACACGAACAAGGGGACACAGGTGGAAACTTAGTACCCAGATGAGCCACAGAGACGTTAGAAAGAATTTTTTCAGTGTCAGAGTAGTTAATAAATGGAATGCACTAGGAAGTGATGTGGTGGAGGCTGACTCCATACACAGTTTCAAATGTAGGTATGATAGAGCCCAGTAGGCTCAGGAATCTGTACACCAGTTGATTGACAGTTGAGAGGCGGGACCAAAGAGCCAAAGCTCAACCCCCGCAAGCACAATTAGGTGAGTACAATTAGGTGAGTACACGCACACACGCACACACGCACACACACACACGCACACACACACACACAGCAGACTGCTCGAAGTCTTTTTATAAGCAGGTGAGCAGTCAATACTCAATATTAACTTAATGGCAGAAAATATTGAATATAGGAGTTATCATACAGCAGTGAGGCAAGAAGCTGTTGCCCTTGACAGTGGGGGGGGGGGGGGGGCCAACCCCACTGTCAAGGGCAGTTCTGCTGCCCAAGAGACAGATGGAGAAGTCCTTCGCTAAGAACACATGAATAAAGGAAAGCCGCAAAAGGTCCCCCTTGGACCGTACAACTTCCTATTGATGTCCAACCATGGCCATTCATGTGTGTTTAACTTAAGTTGGCAACACTCCAGAGATGTCACGTCTGTGTTGCCTGGTAATTTGGTCCGTAAATCAACACTTGTCGGGCACGGCACCATATGTGACCTACCACAGCACGGCATCATATGTGACCTACCACAGCACGCCACCATATGTGACCTACCACAGCACGGCACCATACACGTGGCCTACCACAGCACGCACCATACACGTGGCCTACCACAGCACGGCCTCATATGTGGCCTACCACAGCACGCCACCATATGTGGCCTACCACAGCACGCCACCATATGTGGCCTACCACAGCACGCCACCATATGTGGCCTACCACAGCACGGCACCATATGTGACCTACCACAGCACGGCCTCATATGTGGCCTACCACAGCACGGCCTCATATGTGGCCTACCACAGCACGCCACCATATGTGGCCTACCACAGCACGCCACCATATGTGGCCTACCACAGCACGGCACCATATGTGACCTACCACAGCACGGCCTCATATGTGACCTACCACAGCACGGCCTCATATGTGGCCTACCACAGCACGGCACCATATGTGACCTATCACAGCACGCCACCATATGTGGCCTACCACAGCACGCCACCATATGTGACCTACCACAGCACGCCACCATATGTGACCTACCACAGCACGCCACCATATGTGACCTACCACAGCACGCCACCATATGTGACCTACCACAGCACGCCACCATATGTGACCTACCACAGCACGGCACCATATGTGGCCTACCACAGCACGCCACCATATGTGGCCTACCACAGCACGGCACCATATGTGACCTACCACAGCATGGCCTCATATGTGACCTACCACAGCACGCCACCATATGTGACCTACCACAGCACGCCACCATATGTGACCTACCACAGCACGCCACCATATGTGGCATACCACAGCACGGCACCATATGTGACCTACCACAGCACGCCACCATATGTGGCATACCACAGCACGGCACCATATGTGACCTACCACAGCACGGCACCATACACGTGGCCTACCACAGCACGGCACCATACACGTGGCCTACCACAGCACGGCACCATACACGTGGCCTACCACAGCACGGCCTCATATGTGGCCTACCACAGTACGGCACCATATGTGGCCTACCACAGCACGCCATCATATGTGGCCTACCACAGCACGGCCTCATATGTGACCTACCACAGCACGCCACCATATGTGACCTACCACAGCACGCCACCATATGTGACCTACCTCAGCACGGCACCATATGTGACCTACCACAGCACGGCCTCATATGTGACCTACCACAGCACGCCACCATATGTGACCTACCACAGCACGCCACCATATGTGACCTACCACAGCACGCCACCATATGTGACCTACCACAGCACGCCACCATATGTGACCTACCACAGCACGCCACCATATGTGACCTACCACAGCACCATATGTGACCTACCACAGCACGCCACCATATGTGACCTACCACAGCACGCCACCATATGTGACCTACCACAGCACGCCACCATATGTGACCTACCACAGCACGCCACCATATGTGGCCTACCACAGCACGGCACCATATGTGACCTACCACAGCACGCCACCATATGTGACCTACCACAGCACGCCACCATATGTGGCCTACCACAGCACGGCACCATATGTGACCTACCACAGCACGCCACCATATGTGACCTACCACAGCACGGCACCATATGTGACCTACCACAGCACGCCACCATATGTGGCCTACCACAGCACGGCACCATATGTGGCATACCACAGCACGCCACCATATGTGACCTACCACAGCACGCCACAGCGCTTCTAGCAATAAAAAACTAATTTCCTATTTCATTCCAATTTCTTCCAAACGTCAACACATAACAACCATCCCGGTCTGGGCTCTCACTAAACACACATACGAACAACCAAGATATTAGACAACAAGCTCAAAAAATCATGCAATTCAACCTAATTAACCTCAAAAAATCATGCAATTCAACCTAATTAACCTCAAAAAATCATGCAATTCAACCTAATTAACCTCAAAAAATCATGCAATTCAACCTAATTAACCTCAAAAAAATCATGCAATTCAACCTAATTAACCTCAAAAAATCATGCAATTCAACCTAATTAACCTCAAAAAATCATGCAATTCAACCTAATTAACCTCTCACTGATCACTAGTACTAATGGCATCACTGGATTAAGCTCGTCTAATAACCCATTAATGGCATATCAGAGGCTCGAATCTGCTCTCAAGCACTTGAAGGAGGCAAGTGCCTGCGGAACAGCTTTGGCAGACAAGTTGTACTCATATTCCTTTCCACTCACTGCTTGGAGTGAGGGAGCTGTGAGTGCGAGAGATGCTGTACGATCTCTGCTGAGAGTGAGATGAATGGTGAGATGGGGAATGGATGCTGGGATGGTGTCCGGCTGGGTGCTGAGAGGCGAAGATAAAGACCTGATCGACCATTACGTCGTAGTGTTTTTTTTTTTTTGTTTAATTCAATATCGAGACATTTACAATGTCGTGAGCTGAGGACTTGTAAATAAATATGAACGGATGCACAAAACTGGGTTAACATATACGCTCACAACTGTGTAGGTGAGTGTGAACACACACACATACACACACACATACACACACACACACACACATACACACACACACACACACACACACACACACGACTTCGGGTTGAACCAAAGCTCAACTCCCGCAAGCAAGCACAACTAGGTCAGTACACCAGTTCCTCCCCCTCCCCCCCCCCATCCATCCCCTACACAATTTGGATCAACAATATCCATTTCCTCCACGAAAATAAAACAAACAACATCCCTTAAAAAAAAGACAATAAATGAAAAATAAAACTCATTTTGCAAACATTCAACTAATTCAACTAACCAAAGTCCAGGGAGGCTGCGGCGGGAACTAAAATTTCGGATTCGTAGAAAAAACCTTCGACTCTCAGTACCATTGGAAAAAAAAATAAAAAAAAATCAATTTAATAACGCTAAACTATCTCTGTTTTGAAAACTCGGGGAAATTTCCAGCAGAAAGCGGGGAAATTCATGCAAACTCGATCAGACTAGGGACAAACTAACTCGGTTAAACTTATTCGGGCAGTCCTATAAATCCGGTGTGTATATATATATATATATATATATATATATATATATATATATGCAAACAAGCCTGAATGGTCCCCAGGACTATATACAACTGAAAACTCACACCCCAGAAGTGACTCGAACCCATACTCCCACAACTGGTATGTACAGGGACGCCTTAATCCGCTTGACCATCACGACCGGACATAAGGAAGTGATAGCCGAGGCTATATGAACCACTTCCCCGCCGGCACTCGGATGGTAATCTTGGGCATAGCATTTTATCAAATCACCTCATTCTTTGGGGCACACGTGAGGAACACAAATGCAAACAAGCCTGAATGGTCCCCAGGACTATATACAACTGAAAACTCACACCCCAGAAGTGACTCGAACCCATACTCCCACAACTGGTATGTACAGGGACGCCTTAATCCGCTTGACCATCACGACCGGACATAAGGAAGTGATAGCCGAGGCTATATGAACCACTTCCCCGCCGGCACTCGGATGGTAATCTTGGGCATAGCATTTTATCAAATCACCTCATTCTTTGGGGCACACGTGAGGAACACAAATGCAAACAAGCCTGAATGGTCCCCAGGACTATATACAACTGAAAACTCACACCCCAGAAGTGACTCGAACCCATACTCCCACAACTGGTATGTACAGGGACGCCTTAATCCGCTTGACCATCACGACCGGACATAAGGAAGTGATAGCCGAGGCTATATGAACCACTTCCCCGCCGGCACTCGGATGGTAATCTTGGGCATAGCATTTTATCAAATCACCTCATTCTTTGGGGCACACGTGAGGAACACAAATGCAAACAAGCCTGAATGGTCCCCAGGACTATATACAACTGAAAACTCACACCCCAGAAGTGACTCGAACCCATACTCCCACAACTGGTATGTACAGGGACGCCTTAATCCGCTTGACCATCACGACCGGACATAAGGAAGTGATAGCCGAGGCTATATGAACCACTTCCCCGCCGGCACTCGGATGGTAATCTTGGGCATAGCATTTTATCAAATCACCTCATTCTTTGGGGCACACGTGAGGAACACAAATGCAAACAAGCCTGAATGGTCCCCAGGACTATATACAACTGAAAACTCACACCCCAGAAGTGACTCGAACCCATACTCCCACAACTGGTATGTACAGGGACGCCTTAATCCGCTTGACCATCACGACCGGACATAAGGAAGTGATAGCCGAGGCTATATGAACCACTTCCCCGCCGGCACTCGGATGGTAATCTTGGGCATAGCATTTTATCAAATCACCTCATTCTTTGGGGCACACGTGAGGAACACAAATGCAAACAAGCCTGAATGGTCCCCAGGACTATATACAACTGAAAACTCACACCCCAGAAGTGACTCGAACCCATACTCCCACAACTGGTATGTACAGGGACGCCTTAATCCGCTTGACCATCACGACCGGACATAAGGAAGTGATAGCCGAGGCTATATGAACCACTTCCCCGCCGGCACTCGGATGGTAATCTTGGGCATAGCATTTTATCAAATCACCTCATTCTTTGGGGCACACGTGAGGAACACAAATGCAAACAAGCCTGAATGGTCCCCAGGACTATATACAACTGAAAACTCACACCCCAGAAGTGACTCGAACCCATACTCCCACAACTGGTATGTACAGGGACGCCTTAATCCGCTTGACCATCACGACCGGACATAAGGAAGTGATAGCCGAGGCAATATGAACCACTTCCCCGCCGGCACTCGGATGGTAATCTTGGGCATAGCATTTTATCAAATCACCTCATTCTTTGGGGCACACGTGAGGAACACAAATGCAAACAAGCCTGAATGGTCCCCAGGACTATATACAACTGAAAACTCACACCCCAGAAGTGACTCGAACCCATACTCCCACAACTGGTATGTACAGGGACGCCTTAATCCGCTTGACCATCACGACCGGACATAAGGAAGTGATAGCCGAGGCTATATGAACCACTTCCCCGCCGGCACTCGGATGGTAATCTTGGGCATAGCATTTTATCAAATCACCTCATTCTTTGGGGCACACGTGAGGAACACAAATGCAAACAAGCCTGAATGGTCCCCAGGACTATATACAACTGAAAACTCACACCCCAGAAGTGACTCGAACCCATACTCCCACAACTGGTATGTACAGGGACGCCTTAATCCGCTTGACCATCACGACCGGACATAAGGAAGTGATAGCCGAGGCTCCATGAACCACTTCCCCGCCGGCACTCGGATGGTAATCTTGGGCATAGCATTTTATCAAATCACCTCATTCTTTGGGGCACACGTGAGGAACACAAATGCAAACAAGCCTGAATGGTCCCCAGGACTATATACAACTGAAAACTCACACCCCAGAAGTGACTCGAACCCATACTCCCACAACTGGTATGTACAGGGACGCCTTAATCCGCTTGACCATCACGACCGGACATAAGGAAGTGATAGCCGAGGCTATATGAACCACTTCCCCGCCGGCACTCGGATGGTAATCTTGGGCATAGCATTTTATCAAATCACCTCATTCTTTGGGGCACACGTGAGGAACACAAATACAAACAAGCCTGAATGGTCCCCAGGACTATATACAACTGAAAACTCACACCCCAGAAGTGACTCGAACCCATACTCCCACAACTGGTATGTACACATACTGAATGGTCCCCAGGACTATATACAACTGAAAACTCACACCCCAGAAGTGACTCGAACCCATACTCCCACAACTGGTATGTACAGGGACGCCTTAATCCGCTTGACCATCACGACCGGACATAAGGAAGTGATAGCCGAGGCTCCATGAACCACTTCCCCGCCGGCACTCGGATGGTAATCTTGGGCATAGCATTTTATCAAATCACCTCATTCTTTGGGGCACACGTGAGGAACACAAATGCAAACAAGCCTGAATGGTCCCCAGGACTATATACAACTGAAAACTCACACCCCAGAAGTGACTCGAACCCTACTCCCACAACTGGTATGTACAGGGACGCCTTAATCCGCTTGACCATCACGACCGGACATAAGGAAGTGATAGCCGAGGCTATATGAACCACTTCCCCGCCGGCACTCGGATGGTAATCTTGGGCATAGCATTTTATCCAATCACCCCATTCTTTGGGGCACACGTGAGGAACACAAATACAAACAAGCCTGATGGTCCCCAGGACTATATACAACTGAAACCACACCACACCCAGAAGTGACTCGAAACCATACTCCCACAACTGGTATGTACACATATTAAATTATATAAACGTGTATATTGCTGGTATTAAAATAGTCGCCCTCTCTCCCCCCTTATAAAACCTGGTCAGTACAAACGAGAAGAGGACTAATAATAGGGGGCAAGATTATATATGAATGTAATATATATAATATATATATATATATATATTATATATATATATATATATATATATAGTATATATCTATATATAATATATATATATATATATATATATAATATATATATATGTCGTACCTAGTAGCCAGAACTCACTTCTCAGCCTACTATGCAGGGCCCGAGTTGCCTAATAAGCCAAGTTTTACTGAATTAATATATTTTCTCTAATTTTTTCTTATTAAATGATAAAGCTACCCATTTCATTATGTATGAGGTCAATTTTTTTTATTAGAGTTAAAATTAACGTAGATATATGACCGAAACCTAACCAACCC